CGTCAAATTTCAATTGTACACACGTGAGACGTACGTGAGAAATGAAGGTGGCGTGTGAGCCGTTTTCACATGTATCGAGTCAAAGGCCACCATCGGTTATGCTCAGAAAGACCAAGTCCTCTGGCTGGTTCAATTCTGAAGTTAAAAAAGCGCATGCGCGAAATCTTCACGTGTTCGTACGTGAGATGCAGAAGAGCTGACGAGTAATTTACTTTCACGGGCACCACATTAGGCGAGAAGCAAGGCTGCAAAATTGCAGCTCTCTGCAGCTTATTGATCAGCTTAACTCCGGGATTGGCGTGACGCCAGTTTAAACTCTGACATGTGCGTACGTGAGACCCTCGGGTACCTGAAGGCTAAATTTGAAATTCTTGAATTAAACGCGGCCAAGGAACATCTCTGTGAAGTCCCAGCCTCCTAGCATGCGCCGTTCCCGAAAACGTTTCCCCGCCAAAAAAACTTTCACGTGCTCCTACTTGAGAACCGCGCGGAACTGAGGGCCCATTTTGAGGATACGAGCCCGCACGTATTTGTAGATTAAGTCACCAAACTTTCAGCGTTGTAGCAGCTTTTCTGGGTCTCGTGTCACACACACACACACACACGCGCACACACACACACACGCATACACACACACACGCACACACACACGCACGCACACACATACACACACACGCACACACATACACATACGCACGCACACACACAGACAACTCGACAATATGCATTTTTGCATTGCATAGCTGCAAAAAACGCATAAAAAGGGGTTCGACATTTTATTAGATCATCTGCTTGTTTATTAAAAAACAATAAAAGTTGAAACATACAATTTTTTAGAGTGTTCCCAATGTAACATCGTGAGAGGACAGCCTAAGAAATAGCAAACTGGAAGCATGCAGCACTTTACAAAATCTTCCTTAGTCCAAAATGCTTCTCATTCTGAAAGTCCTGGCAAGTTATACAATAGTGCTATTAGTCTTCCAGCTAGTAAATCAAGAACACGTATCATTATCACCGAGTAAAGCAGACGAAGTCAACCGGTATCGTGAAAAGATCTGTAAAATACAAAAACGGACGAGTGACCAAAAATAATACACCGGGCAAATTCGTGTGAATAAAAAGGGCAGAATTGAAGAGCTCCAAGAATCACTGGGGTACAATAGCTGTTGCGAATGATAATAGCTGCCACGATAATATCCACAACCACGCCCGACATCAGAAAGAGTTCGAAAAAGCAAGTAAGACACAGCAAGCTGAGCACTATGTCTGGCTACTGACCAGCTCAAAACTCCCTCAGTACATCCAGTGGTTTTTCACTTCTACGATGGTGACGATAATTACAAATGTCTCTTTTCTCCCCTCTCCAACGCTATATGCCGTATAGCAGAGGTGACACTCAGAAGGGATACGAGTGATAGACTTTTACCGAAAATTCACGATTCGTCGGCAAACCACTGATTTTGCGCCAGTCGTATAAATTCAAATCCAATTAATTACGACAATAATTAGTTCAAAATTGCGAAACAAAGAGCGTAAAAATACAGTGAAGTGAAAGAGCGCGTGGAAGCTGGAATGGAGCAATCACAAGAATACCACATGCAACACGAGCTTCTGGATGCAGGAAGCATAACATGAGGCTGAGATGTGGCCTGCTTGTCACTGATTATAACCACTTTTAAGAAGCTCATTGCCACTCATTACAGGAACAATCAAGTCGTCCATGTTCGGACACACTAAATTTTTCTCTAGCAGCAATCGAAGTTTATTCTCGATCCAACTGGACACTGTGCTCATATCCACAGATCTGTCACCCACTTGAGGAACACTTCGAATTGAAAGTTTCGGTGGAGTGCGGAAAGCATACCTGAATTCAGCAGTGAACAAAAGAAAGAATTCCTCACAATTTTATTTGATTTTTTTTTTTTGAAAATTACAAAAAACTTGAAAGTGATCGGAAAAATATCGTTTTCTTTTGAGCCAAAACAGTCGATGAATATTACGTAACTGACCAAAGTCGATCGGATGGAGGCGGCGGAATGTTGACTGTCATAGTGCCTTCCAGGCGTGTCACATCAACATTCAACAGTAAACGAGTCGA